AGGGTATTGAGATTGTGGAAGAATCTACCTGAGGAGACTTTTCCCAATTCTAATAAGCTGAGGTAGTTCAAAGATCGGATTAACCCTTAAATGCGCGATTTTTTCTATTGTGGTAAAAAAAATATATTTGATGTTAAATTACCTCTAGTTGCCACAAAAAACAGTTAAAAAATCCAAATTAAGAAAAACTTTATTTTTGCAATTTTTTTAATGTATCATATGAGCTACAGCGAACATTACAACTTAAATATGCAAATCATGGAACTATGCTGGTTGGTAGCTTACAGAAATAGGACTTAAGCTTTTGGAATATGCTTTTAACATTTTATTTATGGAAATCATGGAAACAGTTTTTAGCTTTGTTAAAGCACAGCGAGGTTTGTCATTTTTCACACACCGCACTTGGGAAGTTTACAACGTATACGTTTTTCCATCCATACAGGCCAGTGTGAGCTCTCGTCAACCCGTACCTCCCTAGGAGGAATAATACAGTCACGAGAGCATTGTTTCTGTTGGATTTTTTTTTCCAAATCAGATTTACGTCCTCTTAAGTTTTGACGAATACCTATTTGCAAAGTGTTTCTCCAAATTCAATTCTAAAATTTGCCAGCCCAAGTGTTTTAGTATTTCCCTTCTGAGCATTAACTCTCCTATATAGAAGCCAAGCATTTACTATTGTCATGTCCAAAAGGTGATAAAAGAGTCTGAAATACCACTTCCTTGATATGAGCTTGATACGGTGCCGACCAATCAAACTATCCATAAGGTCTACTCCTTCCATATGTTTATTATACTCTTTTACAATCTTAGGGCAATCGATCTCCACTCTTTTATTTTGAGATTTATCGTATCTGTCAGCTTTGGATTTGGGAAGAGTTCCACAAAATGTAGACACAAGGGACACAATTTTATTGTTCTTCATGCAATTGAAGAAATTGGTACTCCTTCCGTCTCCGTAATATATTTCTTACTGGTACCTCGATTTTCTTTACTCATCTCCTTATCTCCTGGAAGGGGGCATTTTGGTATCCGATTTCTTCTGATAGTACCCAAAGCTTGAACACCGCGTTGAGATAGCTGTGCCGGAAGTGGTAAGGTGGTATAATAATTATCAAATTATACATGATAATTCATATCATTTGGTAGATTACGTAGAAGTCTGGTTACGATGTTAGCACATGCCCCTAAATAACGCTCATTTGGCCCTATGTGTCCCGTGCCCTTCTTGTCCACTGTAAATTTCAAAATTATAACAATATCCTGAAACTCCGGCCAACACATAAACCTTGAATCCCCATTTATGCGGTTTTTCTGGCTTGTATTGCTTGAGATAACTTTTTGTTTTTGTTGGGCACATCTGTTCATCAGTTGATAGGCATGCTTCATAAGGAACAGACTGGTAACGATCAAGAAGGTGATCAACCAGTGGCCGAATTTTGTGAAGTCGATCATGCAGTTCATGTCCCTTAGGTAACATTTTAGAGTTATCGTTGAAATGCAGGTGTTTTTTTACTTTCTCGAATTGCTTTTGCGACATCGTATTTTTGATAATACCTGTACCAATGGTGGAAGCTTCGTATATAACACATCTGGCAGCTTTTCACTACCTTTGAATTTAACAGATTCTTCGGGCATAATCAAGTTTCCCTCTTTCCACTTCAGCTTACACAAGACTTCTCTAATTCTTCTTTGATCCTCAGCTGACTTCTTTTTTCTTGTTTTTTCGTCATTGCGGAGTACTTCATTCTTGCGTTTCCGACTAGTATCTCTATTGGCATCGTGTTTTGGTATATTGCCGGAGAAAATGTTTTGTTGGTTGCTTTCACGTAATAAGTACGTTTAGATATTCGTCTTCTTGTAAAGCTGAACACGATTCGCTATTACTTTCCAAAGATTGTTCAGAAACATGTACAGATGACTGCTTTCTTTATAAATGTTTGTTAGAAACATTACGCGAGTCCAGAGACAGATCAGGCAAAATTATCAAAATATCAAAATCATCATTTTCATTATCCAGAAGAGGGAAAAGGGAATTGTTGCATATATGCAACATTTCTTTAGTAAGCGTTTTGAAATACTATTTCACATTATTTGGGATAAAAATACTAAATGTGGCTTAAGCTTACCATATTCCTGACCACAACAATTTTATAGTGCAACTTCACTGAAATATTTCATCAAAAACGAGGACCAAACTTGTTCAATTTTGTGCGAACGTCAGAGTTGTAGGACGCACCGACTTGCACTGACTTGAACAAGTCCGCATGCTGCCATCTGTGAATTCACTTATAAATTATCGTAATGTAATAGTTTTTGTACGAAGTCATCTGGAAGAGGTTTCGGAATATGTATTATATTCAGAAATAACAGTTAATTCAAAAGCGTAGCATATATGTTACGCTACACCTTTAATTAATAGCTTCTTTAAATTCTTTAAATATTTACTTCGACGAGGACTTCACATAATTAAGATCGAACATCACTTACAGGTAAGTTCGTTTGATCATGTAATTATGTTCCGTCCTCGTCGAAGTAAATATTTAGAATACATATCGTAGATGTTCAAAGCTAGTTGCAACAACGTAGTACTAGCGCTCTGCAATAGTAAACGATAGGTTGTACACAACTACACAAATTTTACGCAATGTATGTGTCAACTAAATGTACATTTCCATTGTAACAACTCAAGTTAGGGCTTCTAGCATCTGGTAATATGACGTACCTGGTTCGAAAATTACTATCCATTACGTGGTAGTAAGCAAATAACGTAATAACATAGTAATATTTAAGGTGTAGAGACTTGGTTCACCTCAAACGCTGCTTGAGCAAAGCGATTGTTTGACGTAAGAGATTTGTGACGTATTTCAGAAAACGCACTCCAGCCCGCCGCGAGCCTGAGACTACTATGATTTAGCAGGCGGATAGGTAGGCGCATTTCATGTACTGTGGACTGTCAATTGTGACACTCTCTGATAAAACCGACTTCATCCATCTGGGAGCAGAGGCACCATGATAAAGTTACTGTACAATGACAAATAAATACTTTGACTGCACGGATATTTGGGGATGAAATACGGTAAAACTGAAAGTGGTTGCCACATGAGTGACACTGAGACTTTCAAATACTGAGAAATCCCAATTTCAATATTATTCAACCCAATCGGGATGTTGTCTGTTTCAATTAGTTTGCGCACTCTGCTAGAGCTAGCAGTGTTGCTGATTTCCCCATTTAAATATCTACAGCGCTTACCAGTAACCCCTTTGGTTATTTGAGAATAACCACAGTAATTATATTTCGGTTGAGATGGCCTCAGCCTGTAAATGCCCTTCAAAAACCATCTTATGTCTGCATCGTTAGTAGCATTTTGGGCAAAAGACTGATAGCCCAAACAATTATATCTTGATCTTTTATCACATGTACTCGTAAGGTTAGAAACTTCAAGGTAGAAAACCAGACATGTATTTCTTCCCGACAAAGGTCCTACCGTAATCTAAGCCCACAATACATGGTGGATTATCGATGCTGATTGGAATGACAGCTTTCCAGTGACGATAACCAGGATAAGCTTCAGAACTAGTGGGAGCGGCGTCCTGGGTCCGAATACTTGAACCAAAATCAGGACCACTTTGGGTGAAATATATAAAAGAACTGGGCTCTATACTAAATTTCATTGTCGATTATTGTTTTTACCTATGCTGGGAACATGCGCAGAGAAACTTTCATCGCTTATCGAATAACGAAGGTCTGGCCGCCGCCGAATTTTACTCTATGAGATACATTCTCCGATTTGCGAAATTTAGATAAGATAGAATAGAAAGAGGAATATATTGACATCTGCATCGATGAAAATTTTTCATGTTCGATTTCATCCATTCTGAAATAGAGTACATTGTAACTTGGATTCCTGACATGAATTGCAGCTTTTATGCACCAGAATATGTTAGATGGGGGCTCCAAATTGTAGAGTCGAAAAATCATAAGGTAGAAGATAAAATGTCTTTGAAGATTCTCCATCACTGCAGCATAGTATTACCGAATTTCGGAAGTGCGGCTTATATTTTTAACTTAAGTTGTCCTTTCTGTGTCCGGGAATTTGTGAGATACAACCTCCGAATCAAGAAATGGATTATAACGATAGAAGATAAAATATAGAAACGCTCTGTTTCTTTGGTAATCTTTCATCTTCAATCTGGTCGATTCTGGGTTACAGAATAGAATTGAAAAATGTAGATAATAATAGAAGAGATAGTACTGATATCTGTTTCCCTGGAACTCTTTCATGTTCAGTCTAACAGATTTTTGCAGCTTAGATAAATAACTTGAGCTGCAAGTTCTGTGCGCCGTAATTTATGAGGTGGAGTCTTCCAATTGGGAAAAGTAGATAAGATATAAGAGTTAATCTACAATTTATTTGGGTTTTCTTCATAGCAGCAACATAGTCTCACCGTATTTCGACCACAGGTCGATCTATGACACCTTCTGAGTACGAGTATCTTTGAGATACAGTCTCGGAAATGAAAAATGTAGGGAACGATTAAAGAGAAAATATAGAAACTTTGTATGCCTTTAGTAATCCTTTATCATTTTAGCACAGAAATATTCAAATTTGCCGACTTTTGCGTATGAGAATGATGTGACTAGATATTTCACTTAGTTGTACGTACTGCATAGCAGGAGCTGTGAGATAAAATCTTCAGACCGGAGGAAAACGATGTTAAATTGGTATAAAGAAAATATTTGGCTCATGATATCCAGATTCACCGACTGTTGCCACCCAGGATTTTCACTATTCAGTCTCACTGGTTTTGATACCGAGAACGCTGTCACTGGATGTATGACCTGTTACAGCTTCTTGGTACCATACTCCGTGAGACATAGTCTTCGAACCCAAGAAATGGAATGACGCTATAGATGATTGCTTCTCTGGACAACGATAGTTGCACCAGCTCATGATATCTAGTCTGACTGATTGCCGCTTTAAGGTACCACAATCTGTGAGATGCAGACTTCGAGTTGGGAAGTGTAGATAACGATAGAAGAGGAAAGGTACGTTTGTTGTATTTTTTTATCGTCGTTATACAAACACGAATGTTTAGGCTTGCCAATTTTGGTAAAGACGTTATATCTGACAGATTTTTAGAAGTCTCACCGACTATAGGATGGACACAGGATGCAATTGGAGGTACAATTCAGTACACTGTGAACATTTGTCTGAGAAGCGAACAGACTGTTTGTAGTCAATTTGTTCTTGTGAAACGTGAAAAAATAATGTTTGAGAGATTTTTATGTCTTTTTGTTCGTGGTCCCTTTCTCTTCTGTGACTGGACCGATTTTCAAAAATCAGCCTTTACGTCCTTGGCGTTGTAGCAACATTGTCTTAAAATTTCATAAATAAACCGAAAGGTACTTCTCAAGTTATAGGCACTTATAAGATTAGCCGACAGGCTGACGGAAATGAACGAAATGGTTTTTCGTGATATACATGTCATACGACTTTTTCGAAAAGTACCGTGTATATAACCTTTTCGTAGCAAGTACATCTACAGTCTGCATGTTTAATATAGTATATAGTAAACTAATAAAATGATATATAGCTGATCCTATTGTGATGGCTTCTTTGGTCCTCTGACAACTATAGCATCGGCTTGATTTTTTTTTATTTCATATCACATAAAACATCACTATTCCTTTTGTTTCAGACGAGCATCTCAATTGTCAGAGAAACTGGTTAAGGTACACAGGAGAACTAGTTTGTGATGCTAGGTTGTAGGTTTTGAAGATCGATCCAGTGATGGCGGACCTTCGGACAATAAACGACAATAACAAAAATCGTTTTTTGAGGTTTAAGTGTCTCCTGCTCATATTCAGAAAAATATTGTGAGCGAGTTATGTTAAGTGGTGAAGCGTATTTTTATCTTTTATTGTAAACCATATTCGTCGTCGTGTAGGAATACTTATAATCCGCCTGTGGATGTACGTATTCAACACGATCTAAACCTTCGCAACTCCTTATACCGCCAAGGAGTATAAGCTTTGCCAATGTTACACATGACTCTTTAAAAAATCATCTAGTATGTCATTTTCAAGATTTCAGATAACTAAAATAGATAGATAGCGTTGTTAAATAGGATAAATAGAAATATAGAACGTCTATGGCAATCTAAGGGAGAGTTCATATAAGCTCTAGCTTCAGAAGATTTACGCATGAGGTGAAGTTGAATCAGTCACTTTAGGAAATATACTAGGTAAGCACTTTTGAAGAAATTCGTCTGCTAAAGTTTTGTTTATTCGCAAAAATAAGAAATTTTTGAGATGATGTAGAAAGTAAAAACTGGTGTTACTGGAAATCGGTTCTTCTTTGGTACCTTTTGAACGACACTGTATAATTAAACAAAATTTTGACAGTTCAGTAAGCAATTGGAGTTTGATTTGGTGGTGTTTACGGAAAGCAATTGACTGACTCATAACGCCGCGGGGACGCACTAGCCCCAGTGCGAGATTGCTAACATTTTTTACATACCGTATAACAAAGGACCAAATACTACTACTTTCCGACAAAATGAGCCGTTTTTGAGAAGGACAAATCTAAAAATGTATATCCTGGTGCTTCTTGGCCTCTAAGTACGAATCTGTTAGCAGGATTACTGTATTGACAAAATGGCGTGACCCGCATTCTGGATATCATGTCAACATTAATAGAACTTTACTGAAAACTCATACAACTGTTTTTTTTTTTGCCAAAAGCGGTCTATTTTATCAACATCGAACACTTTTTTGAAGGAGAACTTATGGCATTATCTTTTTGTGTTCTATATGTACACCAGAAGTGACATCTTTTGGGTCACCCTGTACACACATTCTTATGACCTCACATTATTATAAACCTTACAGCCATTTTTGATAGCGACGAATATGAGAACCTCTTGAGACAGTTCAACGGACAGGTCGCATTCTATCATGTGAAGACTTTACAAAGTTAATGAGTAATTCTTACAGCTGAGCTACTTTTAAAAAATAAAATCTAATCCATCCTAGATGTCTTGCAAATTTTCAAACAATTATTTTTTACATGATGTAGAAGGCTGACTTACTCATTCTATCATGACGTTTCCTAGCACTTTGATATTCTGATAAAAACAATAGTGAGGACCTCTTCAATCATCTTCAATGGAAAATACCATACAACATTTGTTTCAGAAAATGGTGAGGGAGATCGAAGAAGTAGATGCTTCTGAGACATCTTTGGGCAATGTTCTTTTTATCTGAATATCAATACTTTAATAAGAGAACCGTTGTTTTGATAACAAAACTATATTTCCGGTAAGTTATGTAATGCTTGAGGGAGCTATTCAAAAAATATTTCACATATTTGAAACAACGTTATTGAAATGATATTCTTAAATTAGAAACGCACCTGATTCGCAAAATTTTGAAACTAAAATACAAAACTCTGGAGCGTCTAATTTGTAATGATGTAAACACGGGAACAAACTCTATCGTGATGTTTCACTATTTACTCTTCTGACAATAAAGATAGATAAGAACGTTATTTGACCTTTTTAACATGACCTTAGATTACTATACACCTTACAACCATTTCAGATAGCGACGAATAGGGGTATATATATTTGGTGACAGTTCAACAAATAGTTCGCACTCTATCATGTGAAGACTTTACATTACTTAAGTTAAACAATTTTAATTTAAACCGAAGCAGCCGCTGCTGCTATGATGATCCCAAAGAAATTTTGTTAATCCGATTTTTGAACTGCCTAAGCTTAGTAGAACTGGGAAAGGCTTCCTCTTGTAGATTATTCTACACCCTCGACACCCTCGGGACAAAGGAGCGATCGTATTGGCCAGTTGGTGTATGAAGCTCGACACAGTTAGGATGGGAGGCCAAAGTCAGACGGGTCTCTCTGGCAGGCACATCGCACGGCGGCATCGTGGAAGAGAGCTCTGAGGAGCAAAGCCCGTTGGTGTAGCGATTGAAGAGAGCTAGATCGCAGACAGCCCGCCGGTGCGAAAGGGTCCCAAGACTGTCTGTTAGACAAGAGTCATCGATCAGTCGGACAGCCCTCCTCTGGACAGCATCGAGCATAAATGATGTAGTCGGGGCGGCAACACGGAGCGAGCCAACCTACGCGAACGGTTTCCAGGGTCGTTGTTGGCGTTCGCTCCTTGATCGGTACATTAAGGAGAGGTTTGATTTGGTCTGAACAGGATTTGTTGCGCTTCTAGTATTAAGTCTTTTGTCTGCATTAGGTAAGAGGAGACTCGACGCTCGACATTAGCACCGAACTTAACCCAACACGGCCCAACTCGAAACTAAATTTAGGTGTAGTCGAGCGCATTTCAATACCTTCCGACAACAAATGCCAACGTCACATGGGCTTGCATTCGTTTGCTCGGCATTGGATTTTCGGTCTGTACGCGGCTTAAGACAAGTGCTGCATCGAAATAACAATAGTTTAGGTGAGCCAACTGTGAGAGATATACTATTGAGCATATTTGGTTATAGCATAGTTTCACATAATTTAAAGAGCATTCGATGCGCGATGTGCCTGTTGGACAGACCCGCCTGACTTCGGCTTCACATCCTAACCGTATCGAACTTCGTTACACTCAGAACTGGCCAATACGACCGCTCCTGTGTCCCTAGGGTATTGAGATTGTGGAACAACCTACCTGAGGAGAGTTTTCCCAATTCTACTAAGCTGAGGCAGTTCAAAAATCTGATTAATAAAAATTCTTTAAGCTCCTCATAACAGTCGCAGTGCCCTGGTATTTAGGCTATTGGTATGCGCCTGCTTCGGTGCATGCGACCCCCCTCCAACTATTGTGTAAATAGTAGTGTATACTAATATGATGCTTAGGCTTGGCAGGTACACTATTGTAAGGGAGGTAGATGTATAAAAGTGATGATAACGTAAACCAAGGTTAGAAGAGTTCAGCACTTGAAACCGTTACAATTACATATGTAGAAGATGCAATTTCTAATTTAGTTTAGTTCCAAAATTATTCTAAAAAATCATTATCAAGTTTAGTTGATACCGTTTTTATAAAAACTGTCTAAAATTGCCCCCATGTGTTCGACGCAACATCTTGCTCGGCGAATCCACAACCCTTTACAAGCTTCGAAAATAAAATCCTCGAGTCCACGAATTAAATCACAAGCATTTTCAATGCGCTGTTGAAGTTTATTACTTAGTAAGTTTAAGAGTATTTACTGCTCCATCATGACACCAACTCTTTCAATTACCCCCATCCATCTAATCGAAAACTCATTATTTAGATGTTCATGAACTTCTCGTCTAAAATGTGGTGGAGCTCCATCATGTAGGAACCACATATTCTGTCTCACATTTAAAAGAACATCTTCTAATAATTGTGGCAGATTGTGTCGAAGAAAATCTAAGTAAATTTCACCAGTCAGTCGAGGTGGAAGAAGGTAGGGTCCAATGAACATGCCAGCCCAAACATTTAATGAAAATCTATGTTCACAAAGAGTGCCAAAAAAATTCAGTATTCTTAGAATGTCCTAAACAATGCAATTTTGATGATAGGAGTTCGTAGTTAATTGTATCGAAGGCTTTTGAGAAATCAAAGGGCAATAAAAGTGTATCATGTATCGATAGAAGGGCTGCCGTAAGTATTAAATTGTGAAAACATGATCTTTGCAATTAATTTCGATAAAACAGGAAATAAACCGATTGGTCGTAGATAAATGTAACATTTGTGGCAAGCAATTTTTGTGATTGGAATGATAATCGATTTTTTCTGTACATTCGGAAAATATCCAACGTTCAGAGAAGTGTTTATTATAAGTGTTATAAGTTTTTGGATAACAGGAAAACTTAACTTTATCATTTTATTAGGAATTCCTCCAGACCCACTAGTTGAAAAAATTTGGAACGATTTCTTCAGCTCACCGACGACCCCCTCCTCCACGATCTTCAATTTTCAGTCGCTGATACCCCAGAGATGGTCATAGGTTCATCCACCTTACGAACCCCTCAAGAAAAAATTAAAATTCATCAGATGGAACTGCCCACAAAATTTTTTCTAGTTCCGTACCTGATCTATGTATTAAACATCTCATATATCATCCAAAAAGCGTAGTGTCTCGTTTTAGAAATTTCTGCCAAAAAATCACTGTTCTTGGACAGTCCTAAGTAATGCAATTTTGATGATAGGTGTTCGTAGTTAATTGTATCGAAGGCTTTTGAGAAATCAAAGGGCAATGAAAGTGTATCATGTATCGATAGAAGGGCTGCCGTCGTGCTATAGCCACCTCTAAATCCAGATTGTTGATCTAGAAGTAGACTATTGATAATTGAATAAGTATTAAATTGTGAAAACATAATATTCGCAAGTAATTTCGATAAAACAGGAAGTAAACTGATTGGTCGTAGATAACTGTAACATTTGGGGACTGGAATGATAAGCGATTTTTTCTGTACATTCAGAAAATATCCAAGAAAAGAGAAGTGTTTACTATAGGTGGATAACAGGAAAACTTAATTTTATCCGAACCTGATCTATGTATTATACATCTCATAAAACATCCAAAAACCATAGTGTATCATTTTCGAAATTTTTTGCTAGTGGTGTGAGAAGTAAAACTGAGTTGGAACATTTCTGCCTCGTCCCGTGTAAATAGTTCTTAAGGTAACTCACTTATGATACTTCAGATTATGCAGTAACGCAAAAGATCTGAAATAAGCTTAACGGTTTAATAGAATATCGTAATATCAACACATGGACCTATTCCGTGATTAATGTAAATTCTATATCGATGTGTTAGCAGATTTTAGTGCAGCAATTTTGCTATATTAGTTGCTTTGTTTCCAACGGATTTTATTTTTCTATTCACTACCGATGCAGATTTCCATTATGAATCACTCAGCGACCAAGTGTATTTGTCCCATGAGAAAATATTTTTGCACTACTAATTGGAGAAATAGCCCCATTGAGCTTTTCACATCCGTTTATTTTTTTGTAGCGAAGCAGCCGCGTGGGTGGAAACCTAAATGCCAGGGTACCGCGGCTGCTATGAGGAACTCAAAGAAGCTTTGTTAATCGATTTTTCAAATGCCGAAGGTTATTATATCTGGGAAAAGAGAAGTCTGACTCGGTTAAGATGAGAGGCCTAGGTCGAGCCG